GCAGCACTCCGATTGCAATGGCATTATGATATGAAAGAAATTTCGTGTTAGGTCAGCAAACGCCTCGGGAAGTTATCGGCGCGAACCTCAATTTGTCTCACCCTTACGGTCAAATTGGCCTATGATCCTTCTGGCTTCTACCCACAAACATTTTTCTAGCCTGGCAATGCTCGATCCCATTACTACAGTGCAAGACTGCATCCAACGGCAATGATATTAGCGATTAAGAGAAAAGGGATCACTGCGGATTTTCGGGCAGTCGTGGATAAGCGTCGACACATAGCAAGCAGTGAAGGGCCACATCAAATAGTTCAAGTATTTTGGGCATGAGATTAACAACGCAGTGTGCCCAGATTTCAATCCTCGCGGAGTTAGAGAGTATCCGTTACTGATATTTAATAAGGAATCAGATGAAACATTCGTAAAGTACTTCTGGTGCTTTTCAATGGTGAACGCTATACTAACGAATCCACATCAGATGGATACTGAAATATTTGGTGAGGAGCTAGGATAAGTTTACTCTAGAAAAATGTTGGTATGAAAAACGGTGCGTAGTTACTACAGTTGAAAATTTCTATGATAGATACGAATAGCTCGATCCGTTATATTTCACTTCTATCATGTCTTAGGTACTAGATGATTCAACATCATCTTCTCGGCATTTACGTAACACTATAACCGTACCCAAGCACGGGTTTTGGTCAAGGTCTTTGCGAATCGAGGTTGTATGATCCTACATAAGACAAATAGTACCATATGTAAGGGAATCAATTTCTGGTGGAATTTTGTATCTTTCATTGGGTACGCGCTGATCAGAACCGTTTAGGGCACCGTGTAGAATGAGTGTAAAGGATTTATATTTGATTCAGGCCTGGTTCGACCTAGCAATGTTGTGTTTCGATCACTACACACACAAATTAGCGATCAAATTTAGATCGCCGATTTTTAAGGAGTGAATGAAGAAATAACCAACTGTGAGATAAAGAGAATAACAAAGCCAAACAAACTGCAAAAGTAAAAAACATGCATGGGATGGTGGCGTATTGCTTTAGTCGTTGTCACAAGTATGCCTTGAATTCTATGGTCCGAGCCCCGCCACCGCCACCCGACTTTGGTGGTAGGCAGCTTTGCTGTCGTCCGGTTCAATATCACACCTAACTTGTCGGGGCCTTATGTGTTACCCACTCCAAGTCCCGGGGCTTCGGTTGCCGGTTTTCATCACTAAACGGCAGGTCCTCGTGACTATGGGGGTTTGCCCCGTCTACTGTTCACACGAAAGTGTGTAGCAAAAAATACCATCCTAAAGAAGGCAATTTTCTTAGTGCTTCATCTGTCCCATGATATTTCGTAGCAAACCTATCCATACATTTGCAACAAGCTACGGACTGATTATTAATAGCCGTATAACCACCAAACTGCCTCTTTAGAGCACAAAAGCACCGAATTGACTTAATACTACAGAAGGATTCAGGTGCAAAAGGCCTCGGGACCTCCATTAATTGGAATCGTACCCCGGGTACACGATGTGAAATAAAGCAGAACATGTGGTTCGCATAAAAATATCAATCATCACTGACGCAAAAGTATTTTTATGAAGGAGAACAAATCAAAGATCGTATCAACGAATGAAATCAATCCAAGTTGCTCTCATCAAGTTTCGTTGTGAACACAAAATACCGAGTTAGAATGGAATGAGAACTCGTATAAGTGAGATAGAACTGTCACAAACCGCGCATTTTCTAAATGAATGAAAGATATTCAGGAAATTACAAACTTAATAAAAGAAACCGTTAAAATTCCCTTAGCTCTCATCTCACAGGGTTATAAGTAGAACGTACTGGTCCTTCACAACACGGATGAAGCAGTGCGGCAACACAACTCGCACTTGAGTCAGTCGACGGTCAGTATTGGTACCCCGAAATCATTTCTCAGTTGAAGAAGAGAGTCCTCAGACCCATGAACATTTTTGTCAACTTTGAGCACAGCTGCAAAACTTCGCCGGTAATTATTCTAAACTATACGTTTTCCCATCGTACTTTAGCCAAAACCTGTAATTCTTTAGCCACGGCCCGTATTCTTTTAACCTCGATGCATAAACTTTAGTCATGCCGCTGTAAGCAAGATCCAAAAGTATCAGAAGATAATGAGGTCAGCAAATGTTGAAACGTTTGATCTTTTATAAATGTTGATGTTGCAAAGCTTAGTTAAGAAACCGGAAGGTATGACGGTCATATCATTTACAATTTTTCCGATCAATATGCGGTACAGCATTAGATATCCTTATGACGGTCAAGTGCGCAGCATATGATTGCCACACCTTATTTCTCAACCGAGCTTTGCAACATCGATGTTTGTAGAAAATAAAATATTTCAATATTTGGCGACTTGAGAATATTCTGATACTTTTTGATCTGACGCAATCGCAGCAGTGGGACTAAAATTTGTGAGTCGAGGCGAAAGGACCACGGATTGTGGCTAAAGAATTGCGGGTTTTGATTAATGCTTGATGGGAAAAGGTATAACTGATATCACTGATGAACAAAGATATTCAGACTATCTTTTGGATTTAAAACTATGGTATGCACTCAAAAATCGGGTGTATATGTGCATGAGAAATAAACGGACATTTGTGTTGAAAAAATAATATAATAAACTGGTGATAATCTGTCCCCCAAACCCACCTCTCCCATTTCACCAATCAGTGCATTCATTAAGTCCAACTTAGTTGATGTCTCGTCTGACGTGTCCGGTACGTTCTGTTCTGCCACATTCTCGTTAGAGATTGCTTTCAAATATGCCAGCAATGCATCATCGTCCATCTCGATTTCGTCATCATCGTCATCCCCCGGCAGTCCTCCATTGGAAAAATCGAAACCCTAAAGTCAATGCAGGGTTAATGGAATATAGAAAAAGAGCTCAGAATTTAGCTTACTTCAACTTGTCTTAAATAATCCTATTGTTTTAAGGTATACTTGATTTTGGCCATGAATAAAAACGATAGGCTCTCATTATTGGAAGAAAAAGGGGCTGAGACTAGACGATTAGTTCACGAAAGACGGAATGTAATTAGCCACAACAGGCCTTATTGGCATCAGTATGTTCTGGTTGTAGTTAAGGAGAGGATTACTCCGATACAGTTGGACGTTATGATTCAATCGCTCATTTTACAATGAAGCTCTATGAAATTACTACAGTGATGAATACGTATATTATGCGCAACGAATTTTGACAATTATAAATTCTTTGAGATTTCGAGTCAACTTTTGAATGCTCATTTCTCGGGTTAGATAAGAATGTTGAATTAACTTATGCAAAGAGGTGCTCCTCTAAAACGTATCTGCTTACAGAAGATATTTAATCGGGAGGCGAAAAGTCAGATAGGGAAAAATCATGTGAAAGTGATCAGTAAGTACATGCCTGGTGATATATGGG